GGCTAGTCCTTCCGACATTTGCCGCTGGCTCTGATGTCTCTGTAGTGATTAAACATGAGGTGCAATTAGTTTTGGATATATTTAACAGGCATTTGTGGTCTCATGAATCTATTATTTGTTCCTGGTCATATCGTTTTGGCTGAGCACAAAGTTATGTTTAACTTTATATATTTATTTTGAACTTTACTGTAGTAAAGTACAGCGCTGACTTTGTAGCATACGTTTGACTGAATTGTTTGCTTTTGTCTTTATTTCCTCTTATATAACGCAAGCTGGATCAGGGTGTTCGGTCCCGAATCGTACCGTACTGTACTGTACTGACCCGTACTGCTCGGTGGAAATGAGCCATAAATGCATTTCTGTCTGTCAAATGCTCCATTACAGCTTTATCTAGTGTGTAAGCTCCCTTAAGCACCGTGTCTATACTGGAAGTGACCCATAAGTGCCATCACTCAACGACTTGAGGTGCATGACCCCTTCAACAACAGTTGTTTTAACATTTGGGTGAATAACTCACCAGAAGTCCATTGGTATAAAAATGTAACTTACTTCTGTATGTTCGTTGCTTATGTCTGGTGTAGACACGGTGTTTCAGAGTAAGACAGCGTGTTGCTGTTTGTTCCTTTGTAACAATGCTGTTGCTTCAGTTCTTTGATATTGCTTTGGCTGACCCTGTCATTAACCCCCACCTTCCTTAAAGACTGACAGTATATCACCTTTTACCTCAAAAAGCTATGTAATGCTAAAGCGAGCTCAGATGAATCCACTTGAACGCAACATTTACTTACCCTTATATCGTTCCAAACTTGTTTGACTTGGGGTGTGTTCACACGTGTCACGTTTGGTTCGATTAAAACAAACTCTGGTGCAATTGCTCTGTTAGTGCGGTTCATTTGAGTAAGTGTGAACACTGCCATCCGAACCCTGGTGCGCACCAAACAAGTGGACTGAGACCGCTAAAAGAATGGGTCTTGGTCCACTTCCAAATGTACTCTGGTGCAGTTCGAATGAAATATGGAAGCAACATGGACCAAATACTTCTAAACAAACCAAAAACAGGATGTAATGACAAGAATGCTATGCGACATGATTTGACAACGCGGAACGAGCGGTTTATCCAAAACAAGGGCAAACGTGGAGCAACGAGTAGGTAAAATGCCTTTTATAAGCTCTTTGTGAGTATGCAGGTCATAAAAATAAAATCATATGTGCACGCTTAGTCCAGCAGATGGCATTAGGTGTATTCGACTTAAAGCGGTGCTGAGCAGTACTTTGATGTCATACACCGATCGGTCTGCGCAGAGCCGCTTTAAGTCGAACACCCCTATTGTTTGGGGTGTTCATTAAGTTCCATCACGAAATATGTCATTCAGTGACCAATCAGGTTGTGAACGTATCACTATGCCTTTAGGTTCGGTATCTTTAGGTTCGCTGTCAAAAATGCCAGTGTAAACACTAAGCAGACCAGGACCAAATGTATAGTTTTCTTTTTTGGTCCAGACCAAACGAACCAAGAGAACCGAACTACAAGTGTGAGCACACCCTAACTTTCTTATGTGGGCAACTCTGGCCCTCAAAGTCCACTGTCCTGCAGAGCTTTGGTCCAACCTCAGTCAAACACCTGAACAACTAATCAAGGTCTTTAGGATTACTAGAAAGTTATAGGCAGGTGAGTTTGATCAGGGGTGGGAGCTAAACTGATGGACATTGTTGGCCAGAGTTGCCCACTCCTACTGCTGGTTTGTTTTGATGTTCCTAAATTGAGCTCTGCACACATTTTCATCCACTTTTAAACTAGTCACTGAGGGGTGAACCAGAGCTCAGAGTTAGCATTACTTATGGCTGAGGTTGCCTCTTAACACAAAACAGCATGGATGTTAGGGGCATGGAATCAGAGTGGCTTTCATGATCGATTGGTTTGGCAAGCCTCTGTCTGCTTTCTCACCCAACCCCATTCCACCATTGCACAGGTTCGACCAAAACCCCCCATGCCCATCAATGTACCCATCGCCCCAGCTCCTCCTCCTCCCATGGTGGCGGCTCCTCTAATCCAGCGGCCCCTGATGCTCACCACCAAGCTTACGTCATCTTTGCCTGCCTCTGCTGGGCCCATTCACCAGGTGCACATCGTGAACGGACAGCAGTGTGCCACCATTGACAAGACCATGACTGCAGTCATGAGTGGCACCACGCAAGTCACAGGCATTGTCATCAGTCCTGCCCAGACACTTCAGATCAGCAACCTTAACTCAGACTTGAAGGTGAGCGCACCCGTTTCTATTAGCTTGATCGTTTGCTCCAGACATGCAACATTTTTCAGACAAATCTTTTTTTATCAGATAGGATAGGTTTAACTTTTGTTCTTGCACTAAGAATCAAACAGCTTGACTGGGTTGCTTATCTTGTTTCTTGTTCTCTGCTTCAGACTGTGAAACCACAGGGAGGACCAGAACAGGTGGTCACGAGTACACCACCCTCATCCTCTCCTCCTCTTCCAGCTAAGATCAAACGAGAGGAGAGCCCACAGGTACTGGTACCTTCACAGAGTTAACAAAACCATCATGTCTGACAAATTTTGCCTGAAGCCTAAATAATAAACTAATAAATTTTCTTCCTTCAGAAACTTGCCTTTATGGTGTCTCTTGGGTTGGTCACACATGGCCATCTTGAAGGTAAGTCCCACTGGTATCAATTCTGCACTGTGGATTTCCATTAAATTAAAGTTACAAGGACAGGATGTTTTTTAACCAGATGTGCATGGGATGTCATTGCTCTCCAGAGATTCAGAGTAGAAGACAAGAACGTAAGAGGAGAACAACAGCCAACCCAGTGTACAGTGGAGCAGTGTTTGAACCTGAGGTACAAACAAATGTTCTGTAGTTCCCTCCTCCATCTGTTCTGATTTTGAGAGCTTAGATTGAACTTCCAACTTGGCTCTAACATTCCGATTTCTCTCATATATCTCAGAGGAAAAAGAGTGCTGTCACTTACTTGAACACTCCACTGCATCAAGGCACCAGGAAGAGAGGTCTGTACCTGCCTGTCTTAGTTGCTTAAGTTGATGTATTGTAGCCCTGCTGCTTCTGTGTACCACCTAACAGACGCCTAATAGACACCTCTCCGCTTTCTCTTGCAATTCTGCTTTGTGTCTTTGCTAGGGTCTGATCTCTTTGCAGACCTACATCATTTGAGTAGACCTAAAAAGTGGGCTATAAAAGTGGTGGTTAAGGAACCTCTTCCCCAGTTTGTATAGTTTCCAGAGAATTTGGCTTATTTTGGACTTGTTAACATTTGACTTAAGACTCCAAAATGTCAGTAGGCTTACAGGGAGAAATATGTCCTCTCAGTGTTGCTTCACTTCAGATTTGAGCCTCTTGCGCTCTGTGCTCTTTGCGCTCTTTTTTTTTTATTTTTTTTTTTACTCTTTTAGAATATCTTGTTATTTTCTTGTGATTTCTAGAGCTGTGCTTCAACATAATGGATTTAGCTTGATTTGACCTTGAAAATCTTGACTTGGTCTTCACCCCAAAGACTTGGGGATTTACTTGAGCTTGGCCTTAAAAGACTTTATATGAACTCTACCTCAAAGACTTGAGTGTTGACTTAAGCTTGGCCTTGAAAGACCTGACTTGGTACCACCTTAAAGATTTGAGCGTTATATTTTATAATATATGATATTGTTGAAAGTTCTTTACTTGGACTCTACTTATCGACTTGAGTGCTGATGTGAGTAAGGTCGAATTAGGTGTGTAAGTGAGTTTGTCTGTTGGTTCTCTGGTTGTCATTTCAACATCTTTAGGTGTTATGTTTATATTCATTGTTTTGCTTATTTTAGAGTGCATGATGCATTGCTTGTTCCTGTAGGAGCCACCTGCAGAGAAATGTATTGAGATTTGAGATTAGATTTCAGCTTAGACTTTCTCTCTTTTGTTCTTTCTTTCGCTCATTGCTTTTCAAATTCCCTGTATGCTGCTGTGGTCGTCTGTTGCACTAACGGCTTTTGGTGACCCTCCCTTCCATTTCTCCTTCGCTCTCTCCCTCCTTTCCTTTGTTTCCATGCTAGCCAATGAGGATCCCCTCTCTAAGGTATGTTGCAACCAGAAAATGCCATTATTTTATTTCATCTTTGTTTTTTTTCTTTCTTTTCCCCTTTTCCTCCTCCATTTTTCTGTTCCTTTTGTTTTTTGTTTGTTTTTCTTTTCTTGTCTGTCTCATTTCACTCAGGTCGCCCTCCCAAATACAGCACCACCACCACCACCACCAGCAGCACAGCGGTGCCGGAGCTGGGCTGCAACCCCCTGCTCTCCCCCACCAGCAGCCTTCCCGCCTCCCCAGCCCCTGAGCGGCCTGACACAGGGGGCTTTCCCCTCTCTGTCCACCCTCATTCTGTCCCCCAGCCCAGCCCCAGCTCCGGGGATGTAAGTAGCCACCTGCCAAGTCTGGGCGACCATGTTGTTGAAAGGCCCCACTATTATTATTGTTTTAGTAGATTCCTCTACATCACAGGCTGGCCCTACCCCCCAAAACCCTTCACTGCATTCATCCTGTACACCTCAAAATGTACAGGAGCAAGGTAACTCCTGTTAGAGTCCAGCATCCACCCTGGAAAGAGAAAGACTGACCTACCAGCACTGTCATTCATGTGTTTATTTGTTTTATTTGTTGAAATGGAGCCAGCAGTCTTACAAAGTGAACAGTCTTTCTCTACTTCCCACACAAATATCAGGCCTGAAGTAATTATAGTATAGTATTTTTAAAATTCTTACACCCCATCTTGGCATTTAAGCCAAAATAACCATTGCTTATAATGACATGATACATTTTTAATAGTGATTAATCCAATAATCCCAATTATATTAATAATAATAAAACTATTAGCTAAATATCCAGTGCCCTGACTGAGTGAACAGTCCAGTCACCAGTGAGCCACTAGACAAATACCTCCAATCAGCAGTCAGTTCCTCTCCTCCCCGCCTTTCCCGCTGTCATTTGATTGGTCCAGGAAAAGAAGGGGGCGGTGGTACTGACACCTGCCGTTCTTCCCAGCTTCCTCAATTTCAGAGATGCACATTGCATAATGAGTGTCTGTTTTTATTTGAATTCCGAACTGCCAAATGCTTTGTTTTTGTTTTTTTATGGTAAAAAAATAATGGTAATATCCTCTTACTGTGTGTTTAGTCTAAAATATAGTGGATTAGTCCCATCCCCATTTTTCCAAAACCTTTTTTTTTTTTTCTTGAAAAACAATAATGACTAAGTCACAATTTGCTGTCTTAAACTTGAGGGTTTGATGTATGAGCCAAATTGAGTAATAAGGAAATGACAGAAAACCCTTAATTAAAGCACAAGCTTTATTGCAGATAACTAAAGCAAACGCACTAAGAACCTCTTAAGAGACCTTCTGAGCAAAATTTTCAAAAAGCGCTTAAATCTTATCTGTTGGTTTTTACGCTTGCCAACATCCTGTAAAATCGAAAACAATAGCCAGTTGCTTGCGTACAAAGTGGGAAGCACTGTTTATGACAGATTTCTGCTGGTTTTTGCTGGCTTTTCGTTGTGTTACATAGTATCTTATCCTGTCCCAGGTAACATCTTAAGTCATAAAAGTCTTAAAAGTAATTCACGGCTGGCACCTTTTGTTATGTTAATGTCAGGCCATTCCAAAAAGCATATCCCTTTTAGCTTTGTGAAGATATCCACTCAGGCTAGGATTGAACGCATATCAAATTCCACATATCCGTTTAGGGCATCTTTGTAAGTGCTTTTTTTGACTATGTATACAGTAGTGCATATTTATTTGGGATTTCAGAAGAACGATGCATAGCTCATTCTGGCTGTTTAAACACAAGAGAGAACCTACCACAATATGGATTCTGTATTTGGGATGATGTTTACTATTTTGTTTGTTAGTTTGTTTTAAATGATAGATTTATCTTGATTAGTCAGGATTTCATGGCTTTAAAACCCAGCTTGTGATTCTTAGTGGATGGGGTCTTGGTTATATCAACAATGTGCTGCAATTTCTCACAATCTACTGTGAAAATTCACATACTTATCCTTAATACATTCCCATAATGCCCTGTTACCATTTGAGCCAAGACTGGGTAATAACGGATAAACATTCATATCATGGCGTCCATTATTGTGGCATAATATACCGACATGAATATTTAAGGCCTTCCAGAAGTCACCATTGTCAGTCTAGAGAATATTTAAAGAAAACTACTTTTAATCCTTCCTGTACAGGTGCCCAGAGTGCCTTCAACCTTTTACATACTGAATTTAATGTCATAAACTGGTCATATTTCCCTCTCTGTAAAACGTCACTCAGTTAACCTTGATTAGGAGCACATTTGTTGTAATTTCATTCGGATCTCGCAGGCCAGTCAGTGATGTCTCCTTTTAACTGGAATTCAGTCCTTTCAAGCACACACACTTTTATATCATTAGAAATGGGAGACAAACTGAGAGATCAAACTCCCCTTTCCCTACCAAAAATGAAGTGTACATTTTTCTCCCCTTAAACAAAATGAGTTTCTTCAGGCATTAAGGCTGCTTCGTCCTTTGTAAGCTCTCACATGGTTTGGTATTGATTGTGCCTTTTTTCCACCCATCATGTAAGTGTAAGACAGCATCAAGCACTCCCATTGAAGTTCTGTTGTTCATCACTGTTGCCATATACAATTGATCTCGGTTTCTTTTATGGCTTTCCAGGGGTCAAGTGGGCACAGCACTGTTCTGTTATTGAGAGAGTTTCTTTTACAGATTCTGAAGAAGGAAGAGGCCATTCCATGGCCAGGAACCCTAGCAATTGTCCATTCCTATATTGCTTACAAAGAAGGTAGAGATATTTTGATTTCCAGTTGTTGAAATTTGCACCCCAATTTTACATTTTAAGTGTAAAAAAAGAGTTTATAACCAAACGCATACATCTATGTTATAGTGCATTCAATTTATGAGTGTTTTGTTCCTGTCCAACAGCAAAAGAAGAAGAGAAGCAGAAGTTAATGAAATGGAGTGCCGAACTAAAGCTGGAACGAGAACAACTAGAACAGAGAGTGAAACAGCTCAGCAACTCTATAACAGTGTGTTACTTATTTTTCTCTTTAACTGGAGCTTTTCTGGATACAAGATTAATTATACAATTGTTCTACGTGTCTGTGAAGGGATTTTTGCCTCAGAAAACCAATTTTAAGAGGAACATTCAGCTGTTTCTCATTTTATCCCTGCAAATATTCAGTACGGCTTGTTACATAGTATACCGTAGTTCTTCTAAGATTTTAATTTGTGTTTGTTATATAATGCTGTATTCCTTTTCTTCAACAGAAATGTATGGAGACCAAGAACAGCATACTTGCCCGTCAGAAGGAGATGCAAGCCTCTCTGGACAAGGTAAAACACCTGGTCCGCCTCATCCAGAGCTTTAACTTGACTCAGTCCATGGAGACGGACATCCTACAGGATTCCAAACAGGACTGCACAGAGTCAGGGAGCATCAAAGACTCAAAGGACGCTACACAAGTGTGTGTGCAGGAGAGTCCCACCGAGCCTAGCGTGCAAGTACCAGCCGCCGTAGCAGTTCCCGAAGTGAAGGCAGAGCCAGAGGTGGGCGAAATGGCAGAGCCAGCAGCCGCAGTCACACCTGAGGGTGCGTCAGGTGAATCGGGAGTTAGTGCCCCGGAAGTGCCCAAAACCACACTTGGCGAGGAGATGATGGATACGGTGAAAACGCCGGAGCCTGCGGAATTGGCTCAGGCCAGGGATGTAAAAACTAATGGAGGAACGGACTGTGTTTGTACCGGCTTGAACCCGGAAGAAGAGGAGGGTGCTGTCGATGCCGCAGAATCTGTGGGCTCCGAGAACATCCCTCCCAGTGACAGCAGTTGTTTAGAGGATGCTGGGAAGATGGAAGTGGAGCTGCAGGAAGATGGAAGTCATGGCGTAAACAACGGCAAAACCTCAGAACCTTCTCAGCAGGCTTTGCCATCCCCTCTAAGCAGCGTGGACAACCCCAAATAGTTCTCAGCCTCACACTAAACACATTTACATCACCAAAACATTTAAACAGATTTCCTATTGCACCTTGGACTGGTGCACAAAGTTGCCAATCTATAAGTATATATATTATACATATATATATATATATTATCTATATCCAAATAAATGTTGTCGTTTTTTTATTTTCTTTCTTTTCTTTTACTTTTTTTAAATGGTAAAACTGTGTCATCAGTACTTCTACATCCAAGGCAAACTAGTCTTGGTTCTTGTAGACCAATAGAGCCCAAATTCCTTCCTGTACAGGTGCCCAGAGTGCCTTCAACCTTTTACATACTGAATTTCATTTCATAAACTGGTCATATTTCCCTCTCTGTAAAACGTCACTCAGTTAACCTTGATTAGGAGCACATTTGTTGTAATTTCATTCGGTTAAAGTGAAATAGTTGTAGTGATGTGCTTGTGTTGGTGTAGTCCTGTCTGTCTTTACTTCATCTAGTTATCTGCTGTGAAGTTAAAGAGCCCCTCTTAGAGTAGGCTATATTTTAAGGAGTTAAGGAGTTGCCTTGAGCTTTTTAATACTCTGAACAAAAGTATATCTAAGTGATTGCACAAAATTGGTCTGGAGAAAAAAAAAAAAAAAAGAGTTGTTCCTTATAATGTGTTTTAAATTAATTCATTGGTTTATCGGAGCACTCTGTGCCACCAAAATATTAAGTGTGTGAATCTAGTGACAAAAATGTGTTTTTTGGATTGATATTCATTGGAAAAAAGTTCTGGAAGTTTAGGAAGTCATGGTTTCCTGTCTTTATGCACTTTTTATAGGAATGTCCTAAGTATTACTCATTTATTCCCCAAAATACTTAAGTGTCTGCTCGTTTTAAGTTCTTTTGTAGTGTGTGATTCAGTAGATTTTGTTTTCTCGTGTATCACAAAACAGGACTGTTCAGGCCAGTGACTACTACTTAATGTCATACATGACACTCTGCTCTTAAAACGACTTGCACCCTTTCTTATTCGCGTCATGTCCTTCATCTCTCCTTCAGTCACTGAGTTAGATTACTGGACTTGTACCTGAATCAGGTATTTAGATTTCAGCCTTGACTATTAGTAAGGCTGAATGGATCAAAGAAAACCTGCAATCTGATTGGATAGACTCAAACCCCCAGAACACCAACCTGTTCAATCAGTTCAACAAAAAGCATGCCTTCTTATGCAAATTTTTTTTATAAGTTTTGTCAAACTTTTTTAATATGCATTTAGTTTTGAGTTTATTTTGTAAAGATTTCCAACATGGGGTTTGTTTTCCATAGGTTGTCTTAGTTGTCTTCTCCTCAGGAGGAGAAAGGCTGGGCAGATGTGTCCAAAGACTGCATGACTGTGCCCACACCCTGTGCACCTCCAGCCAGGCCTGAGTGGACCGGCAATACCAAAAGCTTCTCTTTCCAAACAGGACAAAAAAAAACTCAAATCAGTGCATCAGTATTCGCCAGTGACAAGGCAGAGGTTTAGAAATCCTGTTGTTGGCGTGGGTTAGACTAAATCAGGACTGCCTATAGCAACCTCTCTAATTTCTTTCCTCCACTCTACATTTTGTCCGCATTTCCCAGTTAGCTGTAGAAGTGTCCCGTCTCCAAGTCATCTCAGGCTAATCAGTGGTAGAACGCAAGGCAAAGCCTCTCAAGATCTTTGACAAAGGGCTGGAAGAGGAAGCTACACCAGAAGTCACATCTCGGTAACTGCAACAAATCATGCGTGGTAGATTAGTCTGAAAAGCGGTGTTGGTTCTGTGTATTGAATGAGTCTTGTTCTAAAGTCAGTATATGTGTGTATTCAGTGCTGTTTGTGAATTTTATTAATTTAGTTTTTTTGTTTGTTTTTTAAGAAAATATATTCAGGTCTTCCTAGTCTTTATTGAAAAATAAGTGCTTTTCTGTTTCATGAAACAGTCGTTTGTTATCAATGGTGTTTAAAAATGGCATGAATTATGCAAGCAGCTTCCTCAATTTCAGAGATGCACATTGCATAATGAGTGTCTGTTTTTATTTGAATTCCGAACTGCCAAATGCTTTAGGTTTTTTTTTTTTATGGTAAAAAAATAATGGTAATATCCTCTTACTGTGTGTTTAGTCTAGAATATAATGGACTAGTCCCATCCCCATTTTTCCTAAATCTTTTTTTTTTCCTTGAAAAAACGATAATGACTGTCACAATTTGCTGTCTTAAACTTGAGGGTTTGATGTATGAGCCAAATTGAGTAATAAGGAAATGACAGAAAACCCTTAATTAAAGCACAAGCTTTATTGCAGATAACTAAAGCAAACGCACTAAGAACCTCTTAAGAGACCTTCTGAGCAAAATTTTCAAAAAGCGCTTAAATCTTATCTGTTGCTGTCACTTTCCTTTTTACATGTCTGGCGAAGATGATGCCAAAACGAAACAGTATACATATGTACATCTCTTAAATACACTTGCATTTTTTTTTTGTCGTTTAAATTATGAACAATATACATTTTCACAATGGCATCTGTAGAAAATAGTTCATTCATGTACAGTTACAGATGGGAATTATTTGCTGGCCACAATTCTGGGCTCTTTGGAACATGGAAATGTGGCGTTTCGGCTGTGTATGAATCTCATGGACCGTTACTTTCATTCAAGTCTGCCTTTGCTCCAACACCATGCTGAATGTTATTGTTATCTTGGGGCGCTGGGGGGGAGGGATATTTATGGTCTTACATGGCTTATCTTGCAGAGTGCATGTAATCTGTTGTGGGTGGGGCCTTTAGAAGTAAGGGGAGGGAACTTCTGAAAGCCACGCATTCAAGTTCTTAAGTCAGTATACCCAAAGAGACTGCAAACATTTTGCTGTTAGGAAGCCTTTTTTATATGCATTCGAGATACATATCATTGAAAGTTTTTTTCCGTCACGATTGATTTCTGCTCTAGCTTACGGCTCCGACGTGTGGGAAACTCTTTCTAAGTTGTCTGTATGGCTTTGCAATTTTGGTTTTAGAACTTTTAAAAGGCGAAAGGTTGCTGTGTACATTTTATACATAAAATCGAAAACATTTTCACACCCATTCCAGCTGTTCATCCTGTCACCTTGATCTTAATAGTGTGTAGATCATCCATATTCTTTATGGTGCGTTATAATTCCACAGTGACAATGAAGTCATTGTAGTTTTAATGTAGTTTCTGTTCACTTTTCATACTATTTACTCAGTCATGATTGTGGCCTTCTCGTACTGTTGATGCATTTCATTTCTGTAGTCGTGACTTTCCTGGTGTTGTGCACTGTGTGTGAGCGAGTGTGTTTGTTTGAGCAGGTGTGTGTGTGTGTGAGCGTTACCTCATCTACAGTCAACTGTCCAATTGGAAAACATTTTTGTTTACGCGTGCAAAAAAGAAAAATTACAACAAAAAAAATCTTCCACTTGATGAAACACAAAACAGGATACATTGTAGCGACATGAGTTATTTAAAAAAGAAAAAAGAAAGAAAAAGTTCACCTGGTGTGCTGAACTAAGTGTAAATGGTTTATTACACAATATGAATATTTGTAAAATTGTTTGTATTTTTTCATAATGATTTTAAAAAGGAGTGTGTTTATTTTTTGACTTTTTTCTTTCACAGAGCTCTCTCTCTCTCTCTCT